AGTTTGGATCAATGCTGCCTTGAGTACAGACAAACCCATTTGTGGGGTTGTCTTTGCTTAGGGACCAGGTTGTACACAGTGGATAATGCAGAAAGATGAAACAACATGATGTGTACCTCAGGGAGATCTGATTGTGGGGTGAGAACTACGTGTAAGTATCACTGTCTGATGAATGTCATTGCCATTGTCTGTATATAGCTGTATACTGTGTATGTGTATATAAATACACACAAGTGCTGAGTTAGAATATATACTAATTTTGGTAGTAAGCTGACTATATGGGGATAAGGGGTGAAGTGTCCTGAAATAACTTTATGATGCTTGTATCCCCATTAGTCTGTTTAGCCTAGAAATAAGTTCTGCACCATTAAGACCAGTTCCAAGAGCAAAGAGGGAGAGAGCAGAACCCTGGAGTTTATTATCAGAAATTGCACTTGCTCCCCCGCATCCTTCTCCTGGACTGTGCTGTCTGCAGTACAGACAGATAGCGGGACAGAGCTTTCCCTTGCTTTTAGTTAGTTTTTAGCTCACTGAGCCAGACAAGTTCCCTGGACTGTGGATTTTCTTTTTCTTGGAACTGTTCAAACCTGCTCTTGACTGAACACCCAAAAGAGCACTGGCAGCTTGCATCTGTGGCCCATTGGGCTGGGCCGTGGCATTTCCAGCACTGGAGGGTCTGATGAGAGACTGAGTGAGCTGAGCTACACCACACAAAGGAGACTTTCTGAGTTTATAATTTCTTCAGAGTGGCAAGGTTTTATTGTTTAATATTGTTCAATTTTTGTGCTGGCAAATGCTTTGCCAGCAGGGGTTTTTCCCACTTTTCTTCAAGGGAACTTTTTAATGAACCAGTTGGGGGAGGACAGCTTGAATCTGCTTTCTAGAGGAACACCCCTTCAGAGGTTTTCTCCCAAATTTGCCCTACACCAGGAAAACAGGGCATCCCAAAAAGGCCACCATGTGACAGAGCATTGTTCAAACACTTATTGAACTCAGGCTTGGTGCTTCTCAGTCCACTGCCCTGAGAAGCCTTGTGTGCTCAACCTCCCTCTGGGTGGAAAACCTTTTCCTCGTATCCAGGCTAAACCTCCCAACTCAGATCCATGCTGTTTCCTCAAGTTCTCTCATTAGTCATGAGAGTGTACAGACTGGTACCTGCCTCTCATGAGGAGGTTGAAGACTGCAAGACTTACTCTCCTCTTCTCCAGGCTGAACAAACCAAGTGCCCTCAGCAGCTCCTCATACAACTTCCCCTCTAGACCCTTCCCCATCCTTGTGGCCCTTCTTTGGACACTTCTCTATTAGCTTAATGTTTTTTTATACTGTGGTGCCCAAAACTGCCCCTAAAACTCAAGATGAAGCTGCCTCAGTGCAGAGCAGAGAGACAAATCCCCTCCCTCACCCAGCTGGCCTGATGCCTCTAAGGACATGGTTGGCCATCCTGGCTCCAGGGCACTGCTGACTCAGATCCAACTTGCCATCAACCAGAACCCCCAGGTCTCTTGCTGCACCACTGCTCTTTAGCCTCTAATTAATTCAAGGCAGGTACATATAGTAAATCTGTTATGATTGTGCTGTATGCTCAGCAATTTCATAAAGCCAAGTAAGTCACAGACACCTCGTGAAAGGAAAATGTGTACACATCCATCAAATTTTAGCCCTGAGAAAAATTTGTACTGCTTTTCAGCCATTGAAAAGATTAATTCATTCCCCACACAAGGGGAGCTTGTTGTCTTAAAAATGCAGCTTCAGCAGTAAGTTACAGACAAGCAAACTACTAGTTGTGTTTTAGCTGCAAGTTAATGAGAAAAGCATTCTGGTTCCCATAAATATATAGGACCAACAGTAAGGTCCTAGTTCTCTTTGGTATTCTAGCTGGATTGTCTTAACACTGACACTTCACGCATGTGGCAGTCAAGTACCAAAGACTTCAAAGAAAGTTTCTAAGAACTTTCAGTAACTACTTTATACATTAATACCAATAACAATTATTCTTACCAGTCTAAATCCCTGTTTTTCAATAATCACCCTCATAACGACAGTCCCCAAAACCTTTATCACAATGTCATTACATCTTTGCAGCAAAGTCGATCAAACTTCACACAGCTAGGGAGAAACTACTCCCTCCTCCTCTTCATTAGCTCCACACTTATCAACTAATCTGCCACCATGACAGGCAATGCCAAGACCAGGATGTGTTCCCAGGAAACTTCACAGTACAAACTTCTTTGGTAAGTGGCACTGCAACTATGTCATCTTTTAGCCCCCTTCTATGTAGTAGAGGGCCCTCTTAAACCAACAGCCTTCTCTTGTCAAGATACAGTTGGTCATTATTCCAATATAAAGAGGTAGGGGAGCAGTTTCACCTATTTATTAGAAACAAAGACAAGTGGATGAAAAAGACTTGAGGAACAACAAGAATAAAAAAAAATGAAGTAATTATTAGAGAGAATGCTTGCAGTTTTGACAAAATGCATCACAAAAAGATCATCCATTTAAAAAGCTCAAAATTGTAAAAGACATTGGCAGAATGGTTACTTGGAGGCAGTACTGACAGCTCAGCAGTGATTTAAGACATCCAACAGTTTAAGAGCATCAAAACCTAGAAGGTAAACATAACTAATATACTGTTGGAAACAGAAACACCAATCAATGAATTTAAAGACGGGTGTCATGGTAAAAGTAACAGGTTAAAAGACCTTTATATTAGTAAGATGAGAGGACACAAGACACACAAATCTCGACACTTCTCAAGGCCAGGAAAAGGTTTGTTGCAGTAATCAAACAGGTAAAAATCTTGAGCTTCACCTGCATGAACAGACAATAAAAGCTATTGTTTAAACACACCAAACAAAAACAGTCTGCAAGAATGACTGAAACCTCATTCTAGGTACTTATATGGCCTGTGTGTCAAAGAATAATTAGCTTCACACCTCAGAACAAAGTATAATTGAGACAGCACTGTTGTACAGATTAACTGAGATTCAGGAAAGTTAAGAACTTCGCTGAAATCACACTTTTTTGTGAACATGAACATTGAGCTATCAAATGGTACAAACAACAGAAGACCAATATGAAGCAGAAGGTAAAAGAATTAACAGTACCAAAATAGTTACGTCACATATTTAGATTAAAATACCTGGGCACAAGGAAGTAAAGCATTCACCTAAACAACGGAAAAATAAACTCACTGATGTGCTTAAGAACGAGGAGAAAACAGTCACCTGAGAAGATCCTTGCCATGACAGAGTCTGCAAATAAGCCACGTAGAAAGACTATAGAATTTTTCAAGTTTCTGGAGAAAGATGCGAAATCCAGGAAGTGCACATATTTCCACTGTTATACAAAGAATATACATCTCAAAAATGGCACTGAAAGGAACAAAACTAGCAACAGTCAATGATATTAGAAGGAGGGGACAACAGTTCCAAAGCAAGACGATCTTGCTTCATCTGAGGAAAGATTTTATCACATTCTTATTGCAAGAAGAAACAGAACAGCAACAGATGAAGGTGACAACTGTGGAAGAAAGGCGAGTATAAACTAAAGAGGTTTTTACAGGTGAAGTAAGTCTCTGGAGGCAGGAAAGGATTTTAAGGATGGGATCACACTCCCCCTTGCCATCCCAGGCAGTCTACAAGACCCTGCAGGAAAAAAGAAGTAGAGATAGAAGCACACAACAAGTCATCACCAAAAGATGTAATAAGTATTGGTAAACTGTTGAGCTTAATGCTCCCCAGCACAAAGGGGAGTAAAGTGAGGGGCTTGCATGACTTAAGATAGATATTGCCAAGCTTCTGATTCTAAGAGAACAAAAGAACCCATTAAAAAGTATTATAATAGCAGTATATAAAATAAGTACTTATGTTAAGTTTCTTGCAAATAGTCATTACATATTTGGCTACTACTATTCTTGAGATCACTTATCATGCCTCCTCAGGCACTGACAACTCACCCTGAGTCTGGAAGCCAACAGCCCAAGACATGCTGCATCATAGGATTTGTTAACTTAAGCGTAATTGTATTGTTAACTTATTGTAGGCTTCATCTTCAAAGGCTGCACCAACATTTATTTGCTTCCTATTGTTTAACGTTAATATCAGAACAGTAATTGCCACTGACACAGAGTTCAAAAGAAAGAAACTGTCCTGAAAGAAGGAGCCACACACACATTTTTCATTCACCTGACTCTGGGTATCTCTTTCCCTCTTCCTTTACCTGAGAATGATGAGAGACAACACAGCAAACTGGCTTTTGCCAAAACCCTGAGAGACATTTGTCATTCCCAAAGGCAAAATATGGATACCCACTGCCACTTGAAACACCACTGTACACACCTTGGGGAAGAATACCCAAAACTGCAGTATTGTAGACCAGGTTCTTCTAATGGTCTTCAGAAAAAAATGAAGCCACTTTACTAGACCACCTCTGATATTTTCAGCTTTAAAAACCCACAATGCATCTACTATGACACCCTGCTTTACACAGGCTTTCTATTAATCCTTTAACTAAAGGATTAACAAGAGTGTAAGCAAAGGAAAGATCTACAGTGGTACGAAAACTGTGGACGGTAACTTCAAAAAGCAACTGGACATGGCGGGGCACAAAGCGGTTCAGAGCCGGGGCCAAGACGCAGCGCTCGCTACCGTGCTCCAGGGCCCGTGCCCAGCGCCGGGCCCACGTCCAGGGAGCACGGGCCCCGGGCCACCTGCCCCGGGAGCAGCCGCAGAGTGAGCCCAGAACCACCGACCCGCGGGAAGCACCTAAGGACGTAGGCCCCAGCCTGGCTTCGTCCGCCCGCGCCTCGCGGACAGCGCGGTGACCCGGCCACAGGGCTCCTTTTGTCCGGCCGCCTTCCCCACTGGGACCGGGACGGCTGAGGGGAAGCGGCGCTCCCGGACCGGCCCCTGAACGCGGATCGCCGGGCCGGACCAGCCTAGGCCCACAGCAGCGCAAGGCCACTGTGGGCCAGAGTAACGACGCCCGCAACTCCCACCTACCTTCGTTCGCCAGGTCCGCCATTTTACTTCCTCAGCCGCACCCACAATGCACCGCGCAGCAGAACGACACCGCTCACCGCAGGCCCCGCGCGCCGCGCACGCCCCGATTTACGGCCGCTCCGGGACGGCGCCGCGCGTGCGCGGAGGGCCGCCCCTGGTTGACTCGCGGGCTCCGCGCGGTGCCCGATGGGTTTCCCATGGGTGCTGCAGCTCCGTGAGGGCTTTCTGGGCAGCGTCCCCGTGGGCCGACTCGTTATGAGGTCTGCGTTGGCCCGATCGCTCCCTGCGGCCCGCGCACCGTGTGTATCGCGGCGGTCGGAACGGGGCTAGCTGCCTGCGGGTCTCCGTCCCGTGCGCGGCCTTGCCGTCCTCCCGTGGCTGCGGAGCCCAGGCGGGCAGACCATGAGCTGCTCCTGGTGCCTCGTCCTGCGCTCAAGAGCAGCTGGCACATGGGGTATAAACTGAGCAATTAATGGTTCTCGTCTTACCCCTATGGATTGTTTCAAGGTTCATTTAACAGCAGCATGCACGATGCCCTTCATTTGACTACATCCCTCATAAGCTATCACACTAGCTGAAGGTAGAATCCAAGGGCCAGGCTCTTGATTCCTTTTGTAAGTCCCATCCATTGAAACCATCTGGTTTGCCTGCTAGGATAATCATCATCAGGAATATAACCGCAAAACTGACAAAACGTGTTAGGAGTAAATAAATTGTATTAATTAAAAAAAAAAAAAAAAAAAAAAAAAAAAAAAAAAAAAAAAAAAAAAAAAAAAAAAAAAAAAAAAACAGAATCATCACTAAATGGTTTGGGTTCCAAAGAACCTTAAAGCCCACCTCATTCCCCCCATTTCCATAGAAAGGGACACCTTTCTCTAGACTAGGTAGCTCAATGCCATATCCAGCCTGGCCTTGAACACCCAGGGATGGGTCAACCCTGGCTTTCACCAGTCTACTAGCCAGGAATTTCTTGGCAAGATCCCACCTAACCCTGTGCTCTTGCAGTGGGAAGCCATTCCCCCTTGTCCTGTCATTCTAGACTCCTGTCCAAAGTCTCTCCAGCTCTCCTGGAGCCCCTTTAGGTACTGGAACAGGCCATAAGGTCTCTTCAGAGCTTTCTCTTTTCCAGGTGAGCATCCCCAGCTCTCCCAGCGTGGCTCCAGAGCAGAGGGGCTCCAGCCCTCAGAGCATCTCTGTGGTCTCTTCTGGATTGGCTCCAGCAGCTCCACATCCCTCTGATATCATTCCCTAGGGCTGGAAGCAGCTCTTCAGGTGGGGTCTCATCTGAGTGGCGCAGAGGGCAGAAGCCCCCTCCCCTGCTGCCCATGCTGGACAATGAGCCTGGCAGAGGGTTTTTTTGTGTGCCAGTGCCTTTGGCTGGGGCATGTTGAGCTTCTTATCCACCTGCCCCTACAAGTCCTTTTTCCCATGCCTTTTCTCAATCCTTTCTCCCCTCAGCCTGTGTTTGTTCTTGGGATTGCCCTAACAAACTTGCAGGAGTTGCAGTTGGCAACACTCCATGTTCTTTTGCATGGTATCCTTTCCCTCCAGCACATTGAATACACCACACAGGATACCTATTTTTAAATACAAAATACCTATCTGTAAGTAAATGTCCATCTTCAGCATATGACGGAATACTTCCATAGATCAGACAATACTCTTTGGAATTTTATGATTGCTTGCTGTGCAAGCTGCATTATCAGTTGAATTTGCAAGACAGTGGGCACAGGAAATCCAGGTGTTTTCTAAACCATGTTAGGGAAAAATTCTTACCACACTTGCTAGATAGCCATCTAGTTCAACTGGACACCCAGCTGTACCTGGTACTCATGACCAAGAGAGGAATGTTTGGGGACATGTTAATCCCTGGTCATGTTGGTTGTAACAGTCATGAAATTGTGGTATTCACCGTTCTGAGAGGCATGACAAAGATAAATGGCAGACTGCAGCCCCTTCAAGAGAATGACTTTGGGTTATTCAAGTGGAGATTCTGTGAGAGTTAGCTCTGAAGAACAAAGGAGTTCAAAAGAGCTGGCAGTGTGATAAGGACTTCCTCCAAGCCAAAGAACAGTTTGTCCCAGCAATCAGAGGCATAAGTGTTGGGAGACTAATTTGGTAAATATAGAACCTGTCAATTAACACAAAAAAACTATACATGGGATGGAAGCAAGGACAGACTACTGAAGTGGAATATAGGAATACTTCTTTAGCATGTAGAGATGGTATTAGGAAGTCCAAAGGTCAACTAGAGTTGACACTGCCAAGGGACTTCAAAAGCTTTCCTGGTCTTACTTTCCACCAAGTTAGTTTCACCAAGCTCAGGTCTCTGAGCTTTGAGACAGGATTCAGAGACAAGATCAAGTCAAAAATCTCTGGAGAATTCTCAGCCCACCTGTACTAGATTGCAAGATAATGTGTGTATTCTATTCCCATCTGTTAGATGTGTGGCAGTTATCTTCTGTTAGTTGGACAGTTTCCTATATTTCTTCCACAAACCAATCTCCTGGGAGACATCTGCTGTTAATGGGTTATTGAGTGTCACTGCATGACTGATAAAAATGATATTATCCCACTGGGAGATCCTCTGCCCAGGGGGAGGAGCCAAGCATTCCTACCTGGATATAATCTCTGATAATATATAATCTGGGACATCAGGGCAGCCTTTTTGACTGGATTCTCAGAGAAAGGCCAGGCCCATCTACACCACCACTGTATCTTCAGAGGAAGACTACAGCCTTCTACAGGATCACTGCTTCAACAGAACCACATCTGTCACTCCAGGAGGACTGCAGCCACCATTTCAACTGAACTGCTGCCAACACCCTGACCCACAAAGTGTCTGGTTGTATTTTCACTCTGCCAGTGTTGCTTTGTATAACTGCATTATTTTATTTTTATTTTCTTTCCCTAATAAAGAACTGTTATTCCTGCTCCCATATCTTTGCCTGAGAGCACCCTTAATTTGAAAATTATAACAATTTGGAGGTAGGGGGTTTACATTTTCCATTTCAGGGGAGGCTCCTGACTTCCTTAGCAGACACCTGTCTTTTCATACCAAGACACCACCCAAGTCCATGGGATCCAGTGGGCTGTGTGGGAGGGGGCTGAAAGCTGGCTGATGTTACTGAACAGACACATTCCATCAGCTTTAAAAGTTCCTGGAGATCAGTTACTACCAGGTCTGCATTCCAGGCAGTACTTTAAGCAGTAGGAGGCTCTGTTTAACCTCTCACTCTCCAGCTACCAAGGCAGAAAATATCATTAAGAATCTTGCTTTTCACCTGAGATGGGTCCTATCATGCTTACCTGGCTTAAATAAACTTACCACTAGTCAATAAGCTACATGGTCCTGAACAAGTAATCCCTGTTTTCCCTGAGGGTAGAGCTCCAGCCATGGAATCCACAGATATCTGGGACTGCAACATTTTTAATTTGATCCCAGATGAATTAAAGCTGATTTTAGCATATCATCTGATCATGACCTGAGACTTTGAATAGCTTTGCAAGATTTTTTTTATTTTGTGCGTGTCCATTGGGAGCTTACAGGGCTGGACATTAGTGCTGACAGCTGCATGATGTCCACATGGCAGCCTGAGTCTGTGTGTGGTTCTAGACCCTGTCTGTGCCTTTTCCCTGGAGAACATTTGGTGCAGACAATTTGCAGAGAATTTAGCCAAAAGAATTGGCATGTCTCTATTCACACAAGAACTGTAATTTTCAGGGATATACAGCATGGCTGACCTAGCTCCAGTCTTTATGGAATTTCGTTCCTTTCCCAAAGCAGACATGTCCTACAAACTGAGCCAAACACTAGTCTTGAAAAGTGAGAGTCAGAGTAATTACTTATTATGTGTCTAAAAAACAACAATTATTTAAGTACTTATTCTGATACAGATATCCATTACAGAAAATTTCATTTTAGAACATTAAAACCTATTAAACCAATAAGAAACTGTGAACATGCTTTTATAATGAAAATGCTTTTATAATGACAACTTTAATTATAGGAATTACTGTCCTATGCTTCTCTAATGAATGTGTGATACCAGCATAGTGAGTGATGTGACCTATTTAAGGGGAGTGTTTTAGAAATAATGTACCTCAGAAAGTTGCATACACTGAAGAACCAGCAGCTCACAGCGTGTTCTCTATTCATGTTCTAATTAGAGCCCATATTTCTCAGAATCATTAACGTAAGAGAGGAAAATTAACAGTTTTATCCTAACAGTGTTGGGAGGTTTCTGATTATGATTTAATTTACCTTCAAGTAGATCTGTAGTAATACCAGGATAAATGTGATTCTAGCAATTTATTACTTCAGTAAAAAGTAAACTCCATCCACACCAATTTCACAGTTCTTGTGACTTTTAGAAATTAATTACAAGAGTTATCTGTACCCTATGAGCTTGTCAACTTGCTGATATAACTAGAATCTATTTTGGGTGCATGCCATTAAGATACTATAAAAAAAATACTTTCTGATTAGTACTATTGTTAGGTCAGTATTTCTAAGGGGACATGGCCTAAAAGTCACTATGACTTTGAGAAATTAAATATTATTCCATAGCTGAGCTCTCAAAAAAAAAAAAAAAAAATAAATATTATTCCATAGCTGAGCTCTCAAAAAAAAAAANCTACCAAAAAAGCCAACAACAAACAAAAAACCACAAAAACCAACCAAACAAAAGAAAAACAAACAAACAAACAAAAACACAAAGGCAAAAAGCTACTTCACAAAGAAAACCCCAGCCCAAATCAACCCACCCTGTTTAAAGACTTTCTACTTCTGAGAGCATAATTTGGATGGACTCAGACCCTGAAGCATTCACAGTTGTTCCATAGCATGACAGTGGCATTTTGATCCATTGTCATAAGCATTCATCAGCAAAAGAAGAAACAGATGCTCTAGAGTGAAGACAGCACCACAGGTAATCACTGTCTCATTTCTAGCTGTATCACTCTATCAGTCTCCTGGACAAGAAGGCAGTTTCTAGATGCTCATACCATGTAGGTCAGTTAATATACCATCTTGTCTGCTTCTGGTAGCAGACCTGGATCAAGCAGAAAGTTGTACCTGAGGCCTCCAAAGGTCCATTCTACCCACATCTCTATG